TTCTTATCATTTATTTGCTTGTTTTCTTTTGCTGCTTTCAGAATCCTCTCATTGTCTTTGACCTTTGAGATTTTGATTATATATATGGAGGTATTCATATTTAGTTGCATCTGATTGGTGACCTTTGACCTTCCTGTACATAGGTAGTTACATCTTTCTCCAGGTTTGGAAAGTTTTCTTTTAATGTCTATTTTTTTTTTTTTAATGCTTTGCTTTTCAGATCCCTCTTTAACTCTAATAGCATACATTTGTTCTTTTGATATCGTTTGACAAATTCTTTTTTTTTTTTTTTGAGATGGAGTCTCGCTCTGTCGCTCAAACTGGAGTGCAGTGGCCTGGACCTCAGCTCACTGCAAGCTCCGCCTTTCAGGTTTACGCCATTCTCCTGCCTCAGCCTCCCAAGTAGCTGGGACTACAGGCGCCCGCCACCTCACCCGACTAGTTTTTTGTATTTTTTAGTAGAGACGGGGTTTCACTGGGTTAGCCAGGATGGTCTCGATCTCCTGACCTCGTGATTCGCCCGTCTCGGCCTCTCAAAGTGCTGGGATTACAGGCTTGAGCCACCGCACCCGGCCCATTTGACAAATTCTGTAAGCTTTTTTCCGCCTTTTTTCTCCCTTGACTATGCATTTTTAAATAGTCTGCCTTCAAGCTCACTGATTCTTTCTTCCATGTGATCAATTTGTTTGTCTTCTATATTTCATTTACTGTAATGTTTAGCTCCAGAAAATCTTTTTGATTTTTAAAATTATTTCAATCTCTCTGTTAAATTTATCTGATAAATTTCTGAATTGATTAATTGTGTTTTCTTAAAGTTCATTGAGCTTCCTTAAAACAGATAGTTTTAATTCTTTGTCTGAAAGATCAAACATCCCCATCACTTAAGGATCAGTCTCCGGCATCTTGTTTTTTGGTTCATTTTAGTGATGTCATGCTACCCTGAATGTCCTTGATGCTTGTGGAAGTGTGACAATATCAGTGTGCATTGAGTGATTCGGTATTCATCTCGGTCTATGCAGTCTGGCTTTGTTTGTGCCTGTTTTTCTTCAGAGGGATCTCCAGGGCTTCTAAGCAGACTGACTGTTTCGTTTCCTGGACCTGTGATCACTTCAGCCATCTCAGAACTATACGATGTTCTAAGCCAAGGCCTGTCGCAAGTCTTGCAAGCACTCTATGGTTGATGCAGTTTTATGGCCCAAATGTATGAAGGGAAAACCCAAGCAGGATACTGGGGCTGTGTGGGTATGCTGGTCAGGGGCCTGAGTTCAGAAGACTGTCCTGGTACCGCAGGTAAGCATGCCTTTCAGTAGGTCTCTACAATAGTAGAATGGTTCCTTGACTAGAACAGAAATTGCCAGAAACAAGGCAGGGCCTCCTTCAGATTTGTTGTGGGATGGAGATTTCCTGTCACATTCACTCAGACAGGCGCATATCTCCCAGTAAGTCTTTGCATAGATGGATTGCAGCGGGAGGTGCAGAAGCTGAGACTGAGCCCCCTCGAAATCTGTAGAACAGAGACTGGAGAGTACAGTTCTATTGTCTCAGAGCGTATGCAGCTCCCAGGAGAACTCTGTACACACGGGATAATTTCCCAACTGCCGCTGGAGGAGCTGGAGCTAATACTGAGCTCTCTTGGGATCTTCTATGGGGCTGAGGCTGGAGAGCCTGGTCTTGTTAAATCAGAGGGACATGTATCCCTCAGTAAGTCTCTGCAAAATTGACATAGTTCTCCTGTTGCCATATAGAGGTGCAAGGCAGTGGCTGGAGCTGGGACTGGGCTTCTTGGAGTTCAGTGTGGGGCAAAAGCAGCAGAGTACAGTCTTTTTGGCTCACAGCGGTCCATATCTGCCAGCAAGTGCCTGCACAGATGATATAGTTTCCTCATTGCAGTGAGAGAGGCTACAGTTGAGATTGTGTCCTCATGGGATATGTTCTGTGACAGAGCTTGGTGAGCCCATCAGGGAGGCCCAGACTGCAAGATATGGCTGAGTCTCTCTCTGTGTCCTTGTATAAGCCACTCTTAGCTAGGACCTCAGCTCGAGAAGGCTAAAGCAGGGCCACAGGTCCACTTTCAGGTGCTACTGCTGTCAGTGGGCAGACGACCCTTTCCGTCAAGGTACTAGCAACCTTGGTGGATCAGCCACCCAGGTGTCAGTTGCCCTCAAAACAACCCTCCAGGGTTTTGTGTTCTACTAGAGTTCACAAACTCCTACCTGAATCCTGAGGCTCCTGAAGAAAGATTTTTAACTATTGATGGGTGCAAAATTTTTGCTGTTTTGGGGGAATATGAGCAACTTCTATTTCACCATTTTAATTATGTCACTACCCTTATAATATATATTTAAATATTTTTTGATAGATTTTGTTTGCTCTCATGTTATTCAAATAATATTTATTGCTTTCTTACTGTAAAACTTTATAAAAACTTTATGATATTATGTTACTCCCCCCACAAAAGGTTCTTTAATGTGATGCATCATTAAATCCAAATATATATCTGCACGGGGCTTTCAAAAAATGTAACACTGAAGTTCCGTGTGGGAAACCATCAACATTAAAGTCAATTAAGATAATGTATTGCTGTTTTTCTGAATGATAAACTTCTATAAAGATTCTATATCAATAGTTATTTAGTAGGGATACTGTTTGCTTGCTAAGTATTAAATAGCATAAAACAGATTTTATTACCTTAAAGTATTTTATCATAAAATTTCAAAATTTAGTAAAACAATTTTAAAAAGAAGAAAAGAAGGATGGAAAAGGTGAGTGGAAAAAATCAGTTAACTTAAATGCAGTGAAATGAGAACCCCTGATTAAGCTAACTTTCTGTTTCATTGAATTAATTTTATGTTGAGTCTTTATTTTTATGTATTTATTTATTCGTTGTGGTGGAACACGTTACTTGAGACATATACATTATTTAAATAAACTTATTAATGCTAATAATGGAGAGAACTTTAGGCAACAGAAAACCTGATTGTATTAATATCAGAGTAACTTGCAATTGGAAGTAGGGGAAAAGGCTCCAGACTTTCCCCAGAAGACCTCAGACTTTTCTCCTACTATGTCAGTGACCGGATTAAGTGAGACAATACAAAAATGCAATGACATGCTATATCACCCACAATGACATGACCAGAGTTAATGGAAGAAGTGGTGGGTAATTAGTTACCAGAACTCTCAAGGCCAATGATTCAAGACAGATTTCAAAAAATAATAATAACAGTTTTCTACTTTTTGACCTTATTCTTTGTGGTCCAAACTTCTTATCAAGTTCTTTCATATTTGTATTTTTCTTCATTACAAGATAATTGCTTCAGTTTGAGTTTTGTTCCAATCTTGAGTGAGGTAGATGCAATCTCACCAAAAGTACTCACCAAAACTTTGTATTGCTACTTGTGTTACCATCATTGTGCTATTTATAAGAAATAAAACACTGCACATTTTTATCAGAGTTCACCTAAATGTGTCTCAATTTCGATAATCTCTTTCATTTTCTCTCACATATCCTTTCTCTCAGTCTTTCTCTTACTCTCATGAAAATCTGGCTGACTTATTTTTTGATAATCTACTTTTTGTCTTTTTTTTTCCTAAATAAATATATTTCCCTTCTAAATTGCCTTTAATTTTCACACTTTATTCAAGATCCAGAAATGCAGCAGTTAAATTTAATCTGATAATGCCCCTCACATGTAATTATAAAGTCTCTATGTTTCTAAACATAATTTATTGATCTATCTTATCATTAATTATCTTGTGGTTTCTAGGTCTATTTTTTAATAACTGTAAAGTCTGCTACTTTCCAGGAGTGATTAAATAAATATATCAATGTACTTTAGTAATTCAAAAGTGCTACATTAAATTCATGGTGCAATATCTCTAGTTCAGAAATCTAAAGGTGTGTGATGCATAAAAACGTAATACTCCAAAGACATAGGGGATATTTATTGTACTCATATGCTAAATCAATCATTTTATAGTCACTTCCTTCTTGTCTATTGCATTCTTTTTTTTTTTTTTTTTTGAGACGGAGTCTCGCTCTGTCGCCTACGCTGGAGTGCAGTGGCCGGATCTCAGCTCACTGCAAGCTCCACCTCCCGGGTTTACTCCATTCTCCTGCCTCAGCCCCCCGAGTAGCTGGGACTACAGGCATCTGCCACCATGCCCGGCTAGTTTTTTGTATTTTTTTTAGTAGAGACGGGGTTTCACCGGGTTAGCCAGGATGGTCTCGATCTCCTGACCTCGTGATTCGCCCGTCTCGGCCTCCCAAAGTGCTGGGATTACAGGCTTGAGCCACCGCGCCCGGCCGCCTATTGCATTCTTAAAGTAAATCCAGTTTAATGTAATTTAAGGTATTTCTAGTCTGATTAACCAAGTTTTTCTGTAAAATAGAGATTCTTTTAAAAGAGGGCATATCGTAGAGTTTTACAACACAGTCTTTGGAGTGAAAATTCCATCTATTTAGATTTCTAGTCTGCCATTTACAAGTAATGTAATCCTAGGCAAGTTAATTATGATTTAAATCTACTTACTTGGTTCTAATAAGGCTTTCTTATGTCTTCTCTGGGTTGTTGTAGGAATTAAACTATTGGGGATGAAGTGAAGTAGGTCTGATTCCATAGGTTACTCAGAACCACCATTTTCTGCTCTCTCCTCATGTTAAACAATCTCAATTCCAAATAAATACGAGTATGGACTTGAACCCAAATAGCCAATACTCATATCAAAAATAGTTATCAAGTTAAGTAAAATTAGTAAAATAAAAACAAAAGGAAGGCGTTTGCAAGAAAGAATAAAAGCGAGGGTTTAAAGTCAGTCAGTGCTAGACTACAAAACATAAAGACTTCACTACTTACAATTTCCTGACTGTTCTCCTCAAGTTATTTGGTCTCCTTAACTCCTTTTCTTTTTTTCTAAAACTTAAATTAGCATGCCGTTTTTACAGGGCTGTAATGCAGATTCAATAAAATAAGTCATATGTAAAATATAGCACAGCTCTAAACAGTTAATAATATCTTGTATTAAAATTCTCAATGTTGTCATCATCATTCAAATTGTCTATTTTTAGAGCACAATTACACTTTTTTATTATCTGAAATGGGGTCCACATAATTTTACAGGGGGTTGCTAATGTGAAAGTTTACATTTAAAATAATCTCTGAAGAGAGAAAGAAATTTTAAAGAAATAAATGTGCTATACAAGTTAACCACCAGATTATCAACATCCTTTATATCTCCTAAAGATTACCACCATCTTCAAATTGAGAATTGCACTATCAATGTATACAATCTCTTCATTAAAATATTCTAGACATTTTAAGTACTTTGATAATTCTTAAAGATAGAATTTTTTGTTTAGTATAACGGTTATTTATTACAGTGACTGATCTACCATAGCCACACAATAATTTTTATACACTGAATCAATTGAGTGCAAATGCGTCTTAAATCATTGAAGAAACTTTTAAAAAAATTTGTTATTCTGCACTATTTATCAGGTGTGTCAAGTTGTTCTTTTGCGTTCCAGAGAAAGCAATGTCCTCATGTCCTCCTCTCCAGCCTGGCAACACAGCAAGAGTCCGTCTAAAAAAAAAAAAAGAAAGAAAGAAAAGAAAGAAAGTAATGTCCTCCTTATTCTTTCAGAAGACCATTATCCTTTGATAAATAATTTTATTTAAAATTTTAATTTGCCCCCTACTTTTATTATATTCCCATACAGCACCATTTTACTCTTCATTACCAATTACCTTTCCTTTTGGGTCACTTGAGCTATGCAAATATGCATTTTGTTTGCTTTTAATGTAATCTCTGGAATTCACATTTTTTCACAGTTCACAATTAAACTACATTTATGAAATAATAATAAATGATTTCTTACTATGGACCCTTACAATGGATAAATAGCAAGATATTTTTAAAATATGTTTTGATAGGAAAAGATATAAGGAAGAATGAGTACCACCCTTAAGAAGAAAAGAAGGAAAGTCATTCAGAATAGACAGAAATAGAATCTAAGGGAAGTATTTTGAGTAATGAGATGACACAGAGACAACAAAAAAATACAGTTTAAGAAGATTCCTTGAGTTCCGGAAATTATTTTAAATCTCCACAATGGACAGAGGAATTTTAAATAGACACGAAAATGAACAAATATCTATCGGAAGGCAGTATGCATATGTCCATTTTTTCCAAATGTTTGCCAAATGAAACTTGAAGTAGCCAAATGAAGTCTACTGTGTGGAGAGAATCTAAGAATCAACCTTCATCATAGATAAGTGAGTAGTCACTATGGTCAAGGGGAAAATATAGAAAGGAAGAAACAATGATCCATGTTAGTTAAATTCTGAGTTCAGCTCAGTTAAAGCAGTATGTAAGGAACATTTTTTTTAGGTCCAGCGGCAGCTGTGTCAGAATAGGAACAGATGAGAGACTTAGATATAGATTATGAACAGTTAGAGGAATTAGTGTGATTAAAAGCTTTTATACCTAATATGCCTAGATGCACAAAATGTTCTGAAGCTTCAGCATCAAAGAAAAGCTGGCATAGAGGAAAAGCAGGGAAATGCAGGCAGCTCCGCACTGTGAGGGCATTTAGAGACTATTATTTATCTTATTTCTGGAAGAACATCAGGGCAAAAATGAGTTAATCAGTATGATAAGAGGGGATTAGGATCACAAATAGGTTATTGTATTATGTCCTTTGTCTTAATGATCCGTCTGCTTTCTGTTTTCGGGGGCTAAACACATGTAGTACAGATAATTAGTTATTTAGATCAATGACTGCTGTTTGTTTCATATAGTTTACTTAAAATTTAAGTTAACCTCTGTTTCTTTGTTTTTCAAAAGCTCAAGGATGGAGAGAGTAGAAGTTCGATTTTCAAAACCATCTCATAGCTCACTATAGTATGCAAATAGAAGATAAATAAGTAGTATCAAAGATAGTATGTTGTTGTATTTTAGTCACATTAAAATTGTTGAAAGCACCAATGACAGAAGAAAAAAATTGAAGATAGTGAACAATAAACCAATAGGAGAGAGTGATTTTAGTTATGTTCTTCTACCTCCTCACTGCTCCTCTTCCCCCTCCTCTTCCTTCTCTTTTTCTTCCTCCTCCTTCTTCTCTCTCTCTCCTCATGTGTATATATATATATGTATATAGATAAATAATATAAACATATTAAATACATGCATTTAAATAATATAAATGTATTAATGTACCTTTAAATAATATAAATAATTAAATAATATAAATGTTCTCATTTATATATGGTATATTAATATATAATATATACTATACATGTGACATAAATTAAATTATATAAGTATATATAAGTAATGTACACTATATAAGTATATATAGTATAGATGTATTTATATATAGTAATATAAATTATATTAATCTTAATATGCATATCACATATGATATATAAATTAATATATCACATATGTGATATATAAATTAATATATACATTATATACACTTAATGAAAACATTTATATTATTAAAATGTTTATATTATTTAAATGTATATTTAATACATTTATATTATTTAAATGTATTTATTATATACTTAGTGTGTATATATGTATACATACTATATATACTTAGTGAGAACCATTTTAGTTTGATTCTCCTCTATATAAGTTGAAGTACAAACCCATACAAATTATTTACTTTGTTTTTACAAAGTAATATTTTTGCAAACTTACAGATTTACATCGAATTTAAATTCGTTTTTAAAATATTGTATTAAATACATGTATTCGTTTGCTAGGTCTGCCATAAAACAAAATGTGTGATTTAAGCAACAGAAACTTACTTCTTTTTTTTTTTATTATTATTATACTTTAAGTTCTAGGGTACATGTGCACAACGTGCAGGTTTGTTACATATGTATACATGCGCTATTTCTTGCATCTCTAGAGGCTGGAAGTCTAAAGTGTAGGTGATGGCAGTGTCAGTCATTTCTGAGAGCTATGAGGGAAAGTTTTAGTTCCATGCACCTCTCCTTGCTTTCGGTGGCTTCAGGTGTTCTTTGATTTGTACATGACATTCTCCCTGTCTTCACACCATCTTACCTTTCTATACGTTTGTCTCTATGTCCATTTTTTTTTTCTTTTTATAAGGACAGCAGTAATATTGGATTGGGTTTGACTCTAAAACTTCATCTTAACTTGAGCATTTGCAGAGGCTGTATTTCCAAATAAGATCCCATTCACAGATATTGAAGGTTAGAACTTTCAAATATATCTGGAGGAAAAAAGAAATTCAACCCATAACAATCTTTGCCATTAATTGACTTCAATTGCCTCAACTCTGTGTTTTGAGAGCCTGGGAAATATCCTTGTTGCAGTGCTAAAAAATAGTAATTTGGAAAATAGGTCTGAGTTTTTTTTTCCAGTGATGCTTTCCCCACAAGTCAAAATAAATTTTAAAATGTCCAACTAAATACTATGGGGTTTACAAATATGATAAGGCATTTTCTGTAACATAAATTTACACTGTATTCATTGGTGCTAAAAGAAAAACTTTAGCCAAATTAAATTTAATTATTTTTTTTAAATTTTAAGTTCTAGGGTACATGTGCACAAGGTGCAGGTTTGTTACATATGTATACATGCGCCATGTTGGTGTGCTGCACCCATTATCTCGTCATTTACATTAAGTATATCTCCCAATGCTATGCCTCCCCTCCCCCCATCCCATGACAAGACCCGGTGTGTGATGTTCCCCTTCCTGTGTCCAAGTGTTCTCATTGTTCAAGTCCCACCTATGAGTGAGAACATGCAGTGTTTGGTTTTTTATCCTTGTGATAGTTTGCTCAGAATGATGGTTTCCAACTTCATCCATGTCCCTACAAAGGACATGAACTCATCCTTTTTCATGATTGCATAGTATTCCATGGTGTATATGTGCCACATTTTCTTAATCCAATCTATCATTGATGGACATTTGGGTTGGTTCCAAGTCTTTGCTATTGTGAATAGTGCTGCAATAAACATACATGTGCATGTGTCTTTATAGCATCATGGCTTATAATCCTTTGGGTATATACCCAGGAATAGAATTGCTGGATCAAATGGTATTTCTAGTTCTAGATCCTTGAGGAATTGCCACACTGTCTTTCACAGTGGTTGAACTAGTTTACAGTCCCACCAACAGTGTAAAAGTGTTCCTATTTCTCCACATCCTCTCCAGCATCTGTTGTTTCCTGACTTTTTAATGATCACCATTCTAACTGGTGTGAGATGGTATCTCGTTATGATTTTGATTTGCATTTCTCTGATGACCAGTGATGATGGGCATTTTTTCATGTGTCTGTTGGCTGCATAACTGTCTTCTTTTGAGAAGTGTCTGTTCATATCCTTTGCCCAATTTTTGATGGGGTTGATTTTTTCTTGTAGATTTGTTTAAGTTTTTTGTAGATTCTGGATATTAGCCCTTTGTCAGATGGGTAGATTGCAAAAATTTTCTCCCATTCTGTAGGTTGCCTGTTCACTCTGATGGTAGTTTCTTTTACTGTGCAGAAGCTCTTCTGTGTAATTAGATCCCATTTGTCAATTTTGGCTTTTGTTGCCATTGCTTTTGGTGTTTTAGTCATGAAGTCCTTGCCCATGCCTACGTCCTGAATGATATTGCCTAGGTATTCTTCGAAGGTTTTTATGGTTTTAGGTCTAATATTTAAGTCTTTAATCCATGTTGAATTAATTTTTGTATAAGGTGTAAGGAAGGGATCCAGTTTCAGCTTTCTACATATGGCTAGCTAAAAACTGGCTTTAAGATAAATTTTAAAAATCCACATTGCTTTCTTCCCTAAAGTATGCTTAGTTTTAAGACATTATTAACAATCCTCAAAATATTCCATTCTATTTTATATTGCCTATGATTTTGGAAAAAGAAATCACTATAATATTTCACATAAAAGCCATATTTGCTTATTATGCCTTTATCAATATTTTAAAATTACACAAATCTATAATTGATCATTAGTTTTATGGTCTTACCAAGGCTTTTGTTTTCCCTATTGATAATGTGTTTTATTTATGGTACTATATTTTATTTATTATTCTTTGAATTCTTAAATGTGATATTATTCCTTCTGGATATAAAACTGACACCCATACATATTTGGGAACAGAGTAATTATTCTGTAAATTTTTTGGAAACACCTGTGTTTCTTTGGATGTTCAGTACTTGTATCTAGCACTAGTTATTTGATTAACTGAAGAGACTACCTTTATTTTTCCTAAGAAGATCAGCTTTTTAAAACAGTTATTTACTGCATGATACTACTATCTGAATTTCCTTCTGACACCAGAATTTATATGCAATAATTTGAATTCACTATTTATAAATTAAATTTATACTATTGCATATTCTTAAATAAATAACTCTTTGCTAGTAAATATAAAGCGTAATATTACCTAGAGAGGGATGATAAATTATAAACTATTTGAAAATAGTTTTTGAATAATTATATTTGCTTCCTTTCTTACTTAAAACTGTAAGTGTATAAACCTTTCTATAATCATTTAGTGATAATTAGATGACTGTCACTTATAATTTTTCTATCAGAAAAAAATAGCAATACTGATAAGTGTATAAAAGTTAATCTTAGTGGATAATATTTCAAATTTCAGATTTATAGTTCAAAATTAACATATTATCCTGGAATATGTTTGCTTCTAAATAAATGAGAAGTAAATATAGCAATAGTGTTTATGATTTATAAATACTTTACATGCAATAGCTTAACCATCATCCATATGCAAACTAGTAAATATTTTCTCAAGAAAGCATTCAAGATAAAAATATTTACATTTTACTTGGCTATTGAGTTGTCAGACATCAAAAAGGGCTTTTTGGACATAGGCGTCTACCTTGTGACTTGGTTCAGTTGACATGTTAAGTTCATAAAAGCATCCTGCAAACAACTCTACATCCCTTCCTGACTATTTTTCACTTAAGTTAGGCAAATACCACTGAGGAATAACAGCATTAGCTGTTGATGCCATTCTTAGATCTTTAAGGTAATTATGCTTGTATATGTTATTTAAATTCTTAAAATGGCTTTAGAGAGGCTTTCATTTCTACAAGAATTAGTATTATGAAAGGTACACATGGAAGAGAACATTTATGTGAACTTGATAGTCTACTAACATTAATAAAAGTAAAAAGAATTAGACTTTATAGATGTTTTGAGAGTGCCTAGCTAAATTGGGATTCCAGTACCAGAGTGGCTAGCAACCCTAGCAACCCTGTCTTAACATGAAAGTAAGAGGAACTGGATGTGAGTGTTTACAATGTGTCTGCCATGAGATATTTCTTCTGCCTGGCAGATGACCTTATGCTTAGTTGTCCAATCTGAGACCTGGGAAAGGGGGTAAGGGTCCTGGCACAAGAAACTTGTTTATACTGTCAGAGGCCCTTGTTGGTGGTTCTTGTGTGTCCAGTTTTATGCCTGTCTGATCATCACCCTGGTGCTGAGAGTCTGACTTTGTGTTTCCCCTCGTGTTCCAGGGAAATCCTGGCCTGGAGCAGCCCCTGGTTTTCCAAGTGGAAGGCACATATTCCATATACCACCACGACAGGAAACTTGTTCAACGATTTCTACTTGGACCCAGGCAGGGAAAGAATAATGAGGGAGGTTTTCTGTCCCCGGGTCATCCAAGACAGGAATGAAGAGTCAAGCAAAAAGCAAGAGAGACTGAGTGAGTGGCAACTAGTGATATATATAAGGGAATAGAGTGTGGGTGACTTCAAGTTCATGGACAAATGCCTAAATTTTCCATTTAAAAAAAGTGGCAAGAAAGTGGAGAGCCAAAGCTTCCAAGTTCTTATCTCTGGCCCATGTTTGACCCATGTCGGTGGGATGTAGATCTAGAAACTGTGTTAAGGGTAATTGAACTCTGCTTCTGGTATGAAAAAGTTAAGCTTGTATTCAAAATGGATGCCAAGGCAACATAAAACTATAGGAATTCATCACAACGGAGTGCTGAGATGACCAAAGTTGCTTGGATTCTGTTTTGATTTCAGAAAACTCTGACTCTTTGATTTTAGTTAATTTGAATTAAGCTTCCTGTTATGACAGCACTTTACTTTGAAGTGGGATTTTTGAATGTCAAGAATGAAAATCACCTCCCAGTTGGTTGACAATTTATTAAAGCAAGAGGTCTCAGGAGATTAGCACACATAATATTGTAAGACATAATGTCACAGGGTTTGTCGTTACAAAACAAACATTTTAATATGGATCAGAATGCATTTTGAGTCTCTCTTTTAAAAAGTCAGAAAAGGCATTTAAAAGGGTAACATTAATATGAATGACTTTATATTCACTTCTGAAAAATAAAATATTAAAACTATTAAAATTTTTCAAATGTGCATGTGTGGAAGCCTGTCGAGGTAAATAAAAATTGGCCATGTTTGTACTATTAAAAATAAGCTAAGTGGAGAAACATCAATCACGTGTGTTACATTGTGTTTCTTTCCCTTTCCAGAATTGTAATTGCCCCTCACCTGTTCCTATTGCTAGTATGATAGTCAGAAGTTTTTCATAGTTGATTAGTAGTCACCTCCTATGTCTTCAGAATAAGTGAATAAGTTGGAAATGATGATGATCGTAATCCAACTTGTTTTATGGTACTCAAATTGAGAACTTAAGATGAAATATAATTTGAATTTGAATATAGAAATTATTGAATTGAATAAGCAAGTATTGTGCTGTTATGTTGTGGCAGATCTTTCATTGTTAGGTTTGATGAGGCAAATTGTTGATACAAAGTTAATGTCAAAGTATGAATATAAAATGTTACCTGTGCCTTACAAGAGAAAGGTATAAGTTAGTGTGGAAAGCATAAAGGAAAGGAAGAGATACTTCATTAATCCCCAGTGTTTATGTTACCACTGTTCAATCTTAAACAGTATATTGTATTTCCATTTCCATATATAGTTTACTTTTAAAGGCATATGATTATTAATATACTTTACAAGTTTGAAGAAAATGGAAAGTCAACTACTGTTATTTGAATTATAAAATAGCAATGGTTTAACTTAAAAGTTTATTTATGAATATACTATTCAACAATAATAATTTATTTTTAACTTAATTATAACGAAAGTGGAAGCAGCATTTATATGCAGATATTTAGGTTTTCCCCAGAGATACTCCTTTGTGCTCTCTTGTTCTCTCTCTCTCCCTCTCTGGCTTTCACTGTGCGTTTTCCAATCCATGGATAATACACACAATTAATGCAATAAGATGCAAAATTTATAGGAAATAATAAATTTATATTAATTTAGCAATTATTATGTGCCATCTCTGTACTAGATGTGTACCTATCATCCACTTACCTAAACATTAGAAGGAGGTAAATTGCTTGAGATTATATCACTCATAAGTGCTAAAGCTTAGAAGAACATTCTAGACTAGAAAGCCCATGCTCTTTTCTTCCATGATAAACACTTCCAATCCAAGT